AAAGCAGTCCAAGAGATAATTTCTTTCTTGGAAGTCTTCTACCCAATTTCTATCTTTGATTTTAGATAAATGTGAAGACAAGGATAAAGATAAACTTAATGGAGCTAGAGCTAACAATGGAAAGTTCCTGATACTACTTGATTATGAAAGATGCATGTATTCAGAGGAGACAAAGCGTACCACAAGTAAGCCTCAATTATGGATTAGTCAAAAGCCAACCCATGTAGTAGAGGAATATTTGAAAGGGAGCAGGAGAAGATGGAAAGGGGTTATCAGTCATTGTGGGCGTGGGGTATAGATACCTGCTGCTGCAGACAGAGGCTAATTCAAACTGCAACCTAGTGGGTCCTTGCTCCTCAAGCTTAGACCTCATTTTAGGCTGTCCCAAGGATCCTGCACAATTTCCAACACCTTCCTACTGTGTAGCTCCTTACAGTAAAACACTATCATTGATGAGTCAGGGGTGAATCTCTTTTCTGCAAGGAAAGATCTGAGAAGAAAAGGAAAGCCATCTCCAGGCTATGCAGATGAGTTTCTTAATGAACACTCTTTCTCTTTCTGCAACACAAAGCTTCCCCTGGATAAAATCTTAGGGCCAGGGCTTCAATAGTGGCCCCATTATACAAGAAAAACCCCTCTTGGTCTTGGGGACATGAATGTCCTAACAGAAACAAAAATATTCCCAGTAAATTATTCCTTTGGCCCATATCCTCATCTGGAGTTCTAGAGGACAGGAGGGCTTGTAGGGCACTGTTCCTAGTCATATGGGATTCCCAGAATCTGTAAGTCGAGCCTGATGGTGATTTGGGGGGAAGCTACAGACTGAATACTTGTGTGTCTCCCTCCCCAAATTTGTGATAAAGCTTAATTCCCCAGGTGGTAGTATTAGGAAGTAGAGTCTTTAGGTAAGTGGTTATGTCACAGGATTAGCGTCCTTATAAAAGTGACCCCAGAAAGCTCTCTTGTACTCTCCCAGTGAGGACTGAGAGGGTTCATCAATGAACCAGGAAGTGAGCCCCCACAAGAACTGAACTTGCTAGCACTTTGATCTTGACTTCCCAGCACTTTGATCTTGACTTCCCAGCACTTTGATCTTGACTTCCCAGCTTACAGAACTGTGAGAAATAAAGTCTACTGTGTACAAACCCTCCAGTCTACGGTATTTTTGTTATAGCAACACACATAGACCAAAACAGGGGGATTGGCAAATGATTTTGAAAAAAGCTCTCTAGATTTTATTTCTTAAACTTTAATATGTGTAGAAATCACCTTGTAAAATTCAGATTCTGTCCAGTGGGTCTGCATGGAGCCTGAGATTCTGTATCTCCAGGAAGCTCTGATGGATGTTGATGTCACCAGTCTAGGACCACATTCTAAGGACACGATTGTACTATGACCCTCTCTACCTTGGTGGAAGAGAGCTGCTTTCTGTGTAGCATCACGTCATGAGTGCTCATTAAAATACATGTGTGAATCATGGCCTCCAGGCTCTGAGAGCTATTCCGTGTTACTTGATGGGGGATGTAAATGAATAAGCTCTCAATCACTTGAACAAAAAGGAAAATATTTGAAACTTATCCCTGAATTCCAAGCCATTATCAAAATGATGTCAACCACTTTTTTTTTCGTCTTAGCAAATCTGTAGCTTTTGAGCTAGAAAAATGGGCAGGCTAGAGGGCTGCATAGGAAAGTTGGAGAATCCTCAGAGACAATTTCTTTTGGCCAAGTTGTTTCATGAATAAAAACTTCATACTTCATAATGAGGAAAGGAGAAACTATCCAGGACTAAGGGAGATACAGGGGAACAGGAATTAATTCAGACTAAGTATTATTAAACTAAGTATTACACCTAAGTCCCTCCTACTCACACTCACCAATAAAAGTTGCTTTAAAAAATCACTGAGGAAGGTGGAACATCTATTAGAGATAGGCAGACTTACTCGCCATTTCAAAAGACTCTGAAAGCCTTGGACTGAGGTGACTGTGTTTACTGTATAGGGAGTGGACTATGAAGAGAGAAAGGAGTCTTCTGCACTGGATGTAGACTATATGAATGTGTGTAATGATTCCCTCTATGGTAATGATAGTTCATTTGCATGATTGCTACCCTTGAGAGAGGATATGACTTGAGGAATTCTAGGACTGTCTCAGTCTCAAAGCAGAACAGGAACTCTTGCCTGCCATCCACCCATTATCGCACCTATCACTACCTTCTTCAGTAGAACCTGAGATGTGGCATGAGTGATAGGCACTGCCTAGGGACCACCTTGGGCAGAGCAGGTGACCTGAAGATGATGAGATTAGGTTAGGTGCTGGCAGATGTCATAAGATGACCACTGGCACTGAATTTCAGGGGGTAAACATTGATCTTGGGCACTGGTGATATGAAACTTCCTGACTCTTATCCTTGTTGTCTTTGGGTTTCTCACAGAGAGAGAACAACTCTGTCTGGTTAGCCTAGGACTTTCCAGACACTACACTGCAAATATTGTGTCCTGGGAAACCTCCTACTCTCTAGCCAGCCAGAATGGTTTACTTCTTAGATGAGTGAGGTCTGGGTGGTGAAGAAATCACATGGGGAAAACATAAAGGGACAGAAAAATTCAAGGAAACTGGGAGGTGGAACTTTCCTGTATCCTGACAGTGATTTAGGAATTAGCTTTTACTCACAGGACATTAAAGAATGGGTTGAGGAGTGGCTTGATGTAAAGGCAAACTAGGAAACTTTCCCACAACCAGCTGTCTTGCAACTGGGAGGTGTTTTATTTTAATGATCACATCACTGAAATTTCAAAGATGAAGATAAAGGGGGAAATGTTGCTTGTACTTGTGTAGCAGACAAGAGCTTGGCCATCAACTCCAATACACTTGTGATGATGAAGGTGATGAGAAATTGTATCAGAAAGACCAAGGGAGAAAAAGAGCTAAGGATTTTGTTGCCCCGATGTGTTCCAGTCACAATCCTTAGGATTAATTCTCTGAAAGCAAAGGTACCAAGAAGAACCAAATTCCAAATAATCAGCTCACACTTAAATCTGACATTAAAAGGAAAAGTCATGCTAGGCTTGGTGGTTTATGCCTGTAATCCCAGCTACTCAGGAGGATTATAGTTTGAGGCTGGCCTGGACAAAAAGTTTGTGAGGCCCCATCTCAACCAATAAAAAGCTGGATATGCTAGGCAGGAGGTATAGCTAGGAGGATCATTGTTTAAGAACAGCCTTGGCATAAACATGAGACACTATCTGAAAAATAACTACAGCAAAAAAGGGCTTGGGGATGTGGCTCAATTGGTAGAGCACCTGCCCAGCAAGCATAAGGCCCTGAGTTCAAACCTCAGTACTGCCAAAGAAAGCCCACAAATGAAAGAAAAATCCTTTTTATTTGTTTGTTAGTTTTTGAAAAAGTTTTTGCTATGTAGTCCAGGGTGGCCTCAAAGTCATGATCCTCCTGCCTCTGCCTCTCAAGTGTTGGGATTACAGGTGTATGACACCATGTCTGGCCAAAAGAAAAATCTTGATGGAAGAGGTCCACATAGGACGATCATTAAGTCTGAACCCTTAAAATAACAGGCACTAAAATCCTAACAATACCAAACCATGATAAAGATATTAAAAGACTTTTATTTTTGTGTCCATTCTAACCAAGCAGGATTAATTCATGGCCTATGAGCCCTGAGAGCTTATGTTTATTTATAATATTCAATATTCCCATAAGCACAAATGTTCCAAATGGAAGGTTGCATTTTGATAATGCCCGTTACTTCATTAAGATTTCATCACCCACCTACATTAAAAGGCCTCTCCCTACACTTTGTTGCTTCTACTTTCACCTAGTGTATTCCTGCTTTATTTGCTTAATCTTGAGTTCCTGGCTTCTCAGGCACTCAAATTCGAAACAAGCAAAGTTTGTGCATTAGCAGATCCCAGACATGCATGATTTATGAACAGCAGGTTTCTCGGCACAATTTAGTGGGATAAGAGAGACTTTGTTTCAAACATTAAAATAAAAGTCAAGAAGTGGCAACAATGGGTGGCATATAAGGACATATGGAGTGTAAAGGGGTCCAGAGTTCACTAATTCTTACTTGGTCTGTTTTTCAGTCTGTGGGCTGATGCTCTGACCAATTTAATAAATTATATAGAGTCCTGACATTCAATCAAGTTAAAAAGGTTTTGTAAATTGTTATTCTGATGACTGACCAGCTGAACCCTCCTTCTGAAAAACAAAAATGTTAACATTTATATGAACAAAAAAACAAACATTTTTGAGTAGTTCAGTGTAAATTCATTTCCTTTTTTAGTAAGTATCCTATTCTTATGCAGACCATGCTTCACCATAGTAATTCTTCCTCTACTGGAGTCCTTTGGAAATCAATCTATCAGTGTTACCAAATCTTTTAAACACACTCAAAACTTTCAACATCTCAAAGGAACTAGAGTAAAATTAGTCTCACTCTTATTATATGCCTGGTGATATAAAAAGCTCACTGTACAAGTATTTTTCTCATTTCAAATTATGAACTTAAATAATACAATTTTCATTTGACAATTATAGCTAAAACCACTTAGCAAGCAAATAATCACTAAATTAATTATTATAAATGATATCTTGTATTTGAGATGCTCCAACCACTTCACACACAAATAAGTAACATCTAACCTTTCTTTACATATGATTAAGTTGAAGAAATTGTGAGATTATAACTCATGTTTTCAAATAATAACACAGGAATTTTACACTTAAGTGGTTGATGTTTCATGCAATAAGGGCTCATGAATACTTTCAGAAGACCTGAAAGTCTTCAATATCCATGTTAGGGAATTTGAGTTGCTTGAGCAAGTTTTGAATTCGTAGACACTTTCCTGCAGAATTCTTTCATGTGTTCCATGGTGGAAGCACCTCTGAATCACATTTGCCATTCAAGGCACTTTTCTTGCTCACTTCAGACAACTCTGGCTTAGTGAGCAGAGTGCTGCCTGCACACGGACACAATGGGTTACCTTGTAGGTTTTGCAATGGCAAAGTCATAATGCCTCCAGCTGCAGCTGCTGCTACCAGCCCCTGGATGTTGGTGAGATTCGCTGTGGGCAGTGTGAGGACCAGGCCTTGCTGACCCCCTAGTTGTCCAGCCATGTTGAAGGGGATGAGGATAGGCTGATTGAGGGTTGGAGGGCCTCCTGGCATTACTCCGGCCACAGCAGAGGCTAACTGCTGTGCCGTCAGAAGAGGCTGCAAGGAAACAAGAGAAACCCAGCTCATTTTCCAGTGGAAAAAAACATGGGTTTTTAAAGCATATTCTTTCCACTTTAGCAGGACCAGAAAGTTCCTGAAATAATGAAGAAACATGCTCTACCCCGAAAAAGAGATTGTCTGGTACAAAAGCATATTTTATAATTACATTTCATTTATTTCTTTGGAAAATTTCACTTCCTCTCAGCAGCTCAAATACCTTTAAAAGTAATAACTTACTCTTATATATTATAATCCCAATGCATTTCCATTTGATTCTAACCCTCATATATTTGAAACTCTCAGGTAATTTAGTCTCTGTTGTTCCAGAAAGAATTCATTGAGATAGGTGGGATTTTTTTTTGGTTCAAAAATTAGCTATGAAATATTATTTTGACTATGAAATTAGCAAAATAATATACAAGAGTTACTTAATGCTAGAAAAGTCTATAGTGACACCATATGCAGATGTATGGCTAGAGGACATGTACACTGCCATAATCCTTTTGGAAAGCAATTTGGAAATACATATCAACAACTGCAAATGTATTCATTCCCTTTTGACTCAGAATACACTCCTAGGGGAATGCTTGAAGATAGAATTCAAAAGGGGGAAAAGATAAATGCATGGAACTGTGCATTACATTTTAAAATCCATAAATGATGGAAAACAATTTGTTACAGTACTAAACTTGATGAGATACTGCCTAGTCATTCAAATGGATCATTATGACACATTGTTAAGACAAAGGAAAATGTTTGTAATATGAGACTACACAAGAAAATAAAGTGGATAATTATTAAGCAAATGAGTGATTATTATTAAAATGGCAAAATTACATATGTACAATATCAAGATCTAAAATGGAGTATAAAAATAGGAATTTTTTATTTTTAAGATGGAGTATTTTTAAAAAGTCTTTTGTTATCACTGCAGCTTGTCACAGTGACACCATTCCTCAATGTCCGGGGTCTGTCATGGCACTTACCTAACGTAAGTATTTGAGTGTATATAGGACTAGTTTGTTCATAGGCATGTCTGTGCATACACACATGCACACATAAGATAACAAGAATAGCATTGTAAAGGCTCTGGCGCAAAGAAGCCAGTTATTGAAATTCCCACAAAATGACTTTTTGGTGGCCTGATAGACATCCTCTCAGGCTGCATGTACATGGGCACAGAGTTGTCTGGGCTTTGAGATGGCTGATAAGCTCTGAGGCCATAGGGAGACTCGGTGGTGACTGGAACAAGAATGTCAAGTCCAACTCAAGCTCTACACTTGGGCTAGCCCTCAATGTGCTGGAAGTGATTAATCTCCAGAGGCAACCATGACAGCAAAAGGGAGAGAAAGGCCCCCATACCTCTTTCCATAAAAGCAGGATGAACTCTGAAAGCTTCACGCTAGATGACAGAGGTTAAAAAAAGCCCAGCCTCTTATAATTGTGTTCTACATCTCCATATAACCCATACCAGGCTGCAAAAAACAAATATTGGACTTTAAAAAATAATGAATGTATTTCTTTATTAATGCAGGAGCTATGTGTGATGTACAGTATTGTCAAACCCAATAAGCTGAACTTGCATTAAAATTGCATTAACTTTTTTATATTAAATCACATCTTGTATTTCAAAAATGGCTATAGTAAGGTTGAAATAACTTAATTTTCTTCACACTCCAGTCATTAAAGTTTTACCTTCAAGAAAACTGCATGGTAACCAACAGCACAGATATAGTGGGTTTTAAGAAGAAAAAATATTTCCAAATGATTAAAACCAACCCTTCCTTTGAGAAGAGAGAAGAATTTTGCAAACGCTTATTTTCTCAATGGGTATTTAATAAATAATGTAACCATACAGCTTCCCATACAAAAATTTATCACTATCATAGCTCTGTTGGAGTTAATTGGATTTAACTCATCATTATTTATTTGGTTATTTATATGGTTAAACCATACTAAATGCAGCCTACTGGAAAGCAGTTGAGAGATACTGACCTGTGGCCCAACAGGAAATGGTGGGTGAGTCTGACTGGCCTGGTGTTGGTCAGGAGTGCTGGGATCCGACAGTGCTGAGCTTCCTCTGGCCCCTGGAAGTCAAAAGACAAATGCTCCCTTAATATAAGACCCAGTCTAGGAACTGCACATGACCCTGTTTTCCTGTGATGTCACAGGACATTAGGGGACAGATGATGTGACAAAGTGGCTTATCAAATCACTTGTTGACTGTCTAAATGATGTTGAGGGATATTCAGGATGGCCAAAGTCACTAGGAGGTAAGAACAGAGAACAGAAGGGAAAATGACACTGTCATCAGTTGCTCACATTGGCTATTGGTATGCATAGCACACACTAGTGTGTCATATGTGTGGAAACCACACCCTTCATGCACAGGCCACATAACTGTGCTCACTGACAAAGCCAAAGAAAGTGTCACCTCAGACATGACGAAGTCCACCCATATTATCCTAGAACATGGCTCCCCCTCTCCTTTGCACTCTTAAGAGTCCTCTCTCCATGCAGCCTTCAGACTCTGAATCTTACCAATGTCCTTTCCTAAAAAACAATGTCACTTTTCACAATGTCCTAAAAAGAATATGGACTTTAAGCAAGTTGCCCAGAAGCTGATTAAAAGAGGAGAGATCCACGGTAAACCCCATTTTACTAGGCACCGAACACAACTTATTTCCTGCGTTAGCATCCTGTTGGACACCAATATTTCTACCAAAATATTATAGTCTTTCTGTGTGTTTATGTGCTTTGTTTTAACATAAACCATAGTGGGTAAGATAATGGCAGAAACAAATGTGTGAATAAATAGGCAAACAAATAGTCATTTTTGAGAGTTTCTTGTTGGTGGATTATGTTTTCTTAGAGTTTTCTAATGGAGTGGTTGAAATCCAATTCCAAGCAAAGCTTTACAAGATCCTCTTTCCTGATGTTTGTCCTATGAATAGCAAGTAGATGACAATTCCAACCCTGTTTGAGGCATGCCATGGATGACCAAGAAAAAAAGATATGATTCTGTCACACTTATAAATTTTAAAGAAGGTATTATTGGCTCATTTAAAACAAATTCTTCTATATAGTCTCCAAAGGGACAGACTTATAAATAATGGAAATGTGCAAAAATACTTCAGCACATTAAGCTACAAATAAAATTGACTGCTACATATTATTCAATTGACTTCTATCTCCACAGCAATGTGTCAATCATAACAGCATTTTATAATAGGATTAAGCAATAAACGTGGAAAGCCATTATGCAGAAATCTGAAAATCTGATTAATTTGTAATATTTTTGTGTGCAGAAAGTCAGGAATGGACATTGCTTGGGGAATACTTACAAGCATTCTATTGAAAGTCCTAAATTGATTTGGAACAAACTAATAAAAACACAGACTTGCTGACATTTTATAAAGTGAATTCTGTCAAAATACGTTTGGTATTTTAATGATCGCTGTCATTTAATAACAAGGGTAAGATGACCCATCAGAAGATGCCAACAATTTCCCCATAATATGTACAAGACCTTTCTTCTAAATTTTTTATATGTGATTTACTTAGTATGCTTGAAAAGCAGGGGATTTTAGGCTAGGAATTGCCTTATGCAGTGTAAACCTCAGAATCTTTGCTCATACAACCCAAGTCTTATTTTGCCTTAAAATTCTCAGCAGAGCTTTATGTACCTAAAAGAGCTTACTGAATCTCCAAAATGATGCCTTTGGTCAAATATTCATATTAGGCTCATTCACAAATGGTTGATGATTCAGTGCTTAAAAAATTTGTTTGCTTCCCCATACTTGTCCGGCATGCATTTTCACACTAGACTGTGAAAAGAGAATTTTCCAATGCACAGAAAAATGGAAAAGTCTCTTTATATTAATTGTTTCTATCTCTATCATGCTAGGCTCCTCTGTCACGTCTTTCATATGTGCTCGTTCATTTTTCAGCCTGCTTCTCAGTGCACGCCATCGTAATGATCAGGCTCAGTTCCATTCAGGCACTGTGTCAATAAGAAGCGTCTGTTCCCTGCAATTTTACACAGGACACATTTGCTTACACTTTTTCTTTGTTGCATTGAGCCCCTAACTGGTGCTCAGCAGCTTGTGCTGTGGCTGGCTATTCTCAGAAACCATGTTCAGTGCAGTCCAGGGCAATTCCGCACAATTTCATGTGTAAAATGAAGTCTTTCACAGGCTCCGGAGGAGATCATGTATGCTCTCCTGCCTGGATCAAAAACTAATGTTTCTTCTTAATGCGCATCTCCATTTTCCCCAAACATGTGTATCACGCTTAACCTTGTAGGCCCATAAACTAATCTGTCTGGTTGGAAGGCAGCTCCCAAATAGGGGCTTCTCAGAGCCAGAAGGGAATTCAGCAGTCAGTATGAGTAAGTGACGTCAGCTAAAGGTGTCAGAGGTTTGAAGCAGCACTTAGCTGTACATCAGCAGAGAACCTGAGGTTAAGGATTTTCATGGGCATTGATACGAAAGCATAAGCTTGGATGGGTTGGGTAGGGTTCTCCTGACCAGGAGTCTGGGGAATAAGTCACATCACTGGGGACCCAGGAGTTCCAGGGTAGTTCTCTGAGATCAGTTTGAAGTGAATGGCCTGTGCTTTTAAAAAATTTTTAAAAAAATTTATCACTATTTTCATACTTGTAAAGAATGTACTTTGATTACATTTATCCCCCAGTCTCTCTCAGCATTTCATTCACATCTGGTGAATGAAATAAAAATAGAGATTTTTATTTCACTCAATATTCACTCAATAAAAATAGAGATTTGGTTTAATGCAGCAGTGGCATAATTTCATTACAATAGATGTTGGCATCCATTTGACTCATTATCATTGTTTCATAGAAATCTTGGAAATATCTCTAAATTATTTGTTTATTGGGAATTTCTACCTCAATCCAATTTGCATAATTGGTGTTGTTTGGATCTGGAATGTGCCCCAAAGGTCAACGTGGAAAGACTTTGTCTCTAGCCTGTGACACTATTGGGAGGTGAGGAACCTTTGCAAGGTGGGGTTTAGAGGAGGTAAATTGGGGTGTGTCCTTGCAGGGAATATTGGGACCCTGGTTTCTTCTCCTTGCTCTCTTTGCTCCCAGTCACCATGAGACGAGCAGCTTTGCTGCACCACATGTTCGCTACCATGATGTCTCACCTCGCCACAGGCAATGGAGTGGAAACACCATGAACTTGAAACCTCTGGACTCATGAGCCAAAATAAACCTTTCCTACTTTTTTCTTTTTTGGCAGTACTGGGGTTTGAACTCAGAGTCTCACGCTTGCTAGGCAGGTGCGCTACTGCTTGAGTCACTCTACCAGTCCAACCTTTCCCACTTTTAAGTTGATTATGTAAGGTATTTTGCCATAGTAACAGAAACTAACTAACACAGATATGAAAAGCAGTTTGGTATGAGGTGTTAAAAGCAAGCACTTAGATTTTGAACTCTGCCCAGGTTTAAATTTAGCTCTGTCACTTAACTAATACATGAACTTGGGCTTGTTTTCCAACTTCTTTATGCATCAGCTTCTTCTTTAAAAAGTCACCCTAACGGGGCAGTGGCTATGAGGTTTAAAGGAGCTAATATATTGTAAATTTCTTGAAACAGTGCATGTTTGTGATATAAGTGCTACTTTAGTTGATGTACATTAAGGGTGAATATGATGGAAATATTACATGCTCATGTGTGAAAATAGAAAAAGTGAGACCTGTTGAAACTATTCTAAAGGGAGGAGGGGGTAAAGGAGAATGACCGAGGGGTGAAATTAACTAAGATCTATTGTAAGCACTTTTGTAGAATGTCACAATGTACCCCCCAGCACAACAATAATATGATAAAAAATTTGAAAATTATACTTGAACTAATAATATTTAACATTATTTCATTTGTCCATAACATTTGCCTTCTCCAAGTCAGTTCAATTCATATTCCCATCCTTAAGTGTGAGGTCCATATCCTCTTATACACAAGCTAAGGGTGGCTGCTGCGTACCGGCCCTAGTGATGCACTGTGTGCCATTAGATGAAAGCTTAGAACAGAACTAAACAGTTGAGTAATTAAGAGCCTACAACATAAGGTGCTTACAAATATAGTCATCACTCAGTTCCAAAGGATTGGTTGCAGGACGCCCTGTGGACACTAAAGTCCAAGGGTGCTCACGTACCTCACGTAAAGTGCAGTATTTGCACATAACCTATGCACATCTTCTAATCAAACGTAATCATCTTTAGATTACTTATAATACCTAATGCAATGTGAATGCTATATAAATGGTTTTTTGACTGAATTGTTTAAACAATCACTAGAAAAAAGTTGTACACCTTTTCAGTACATGTGCATTTTTTCCCCAAATACAAGTTCTCATCTGTAGATGAGAACCAGAAGAACTGACTACATAGCACTTCCTTTAGTCCATGGTAGTATAATCAGGAAATATGTGATCAAGATACTAGCAAATAGCTTCCCAGGCCTATGAGTCACTTGAATAGCATCTTGAACACAGAGGTGTTTGCATCCTATAGGAGGCTGCGACAGAGAATCCAAGTGGGAGTCTGTGGACATTTTATAAAACTCCACCAGGATTGAAGACAACAGGGAACAAACAGTGGTTTAACTGCTTCCCAGGAAATTCTGAGTCTCCTTTGTGCTGACAACACCATGCATAGTTTTATGAATAGTAGCTGGTCCTCACCTGGCATGACCCCCATGGCCTTCCTAGTTGCCTCACGTGGAACATTCTTCCATCTTAATCCTGGTTGAAGAACCTGCCATATACCTCTATTTTGTAATTATCATTTGCTCACAGGCAATTCAAGGAGTGTAAAAACTGTTTTTAATGGTGATAATATAGAACTTAGAATAGCTATGTAAGAGGTGTTAATTCTCCACAAATACAGAGAAGCCAGATTTAAATCTCTTAGGGAAAGAACAGTCAGCAATTGTGGAGATATTGGAGGACTGATAGGAATTTGGATTGCATGTTTGGATAAAGCTGACTTTTAATCATTAAAAATGTGTGATGGTCAGTCAGATGACCCTCACTCTTTCAATATCATCTTTCGTGGAGTGATCTCC